GCCTCGCGCAGTTCGTACCTACCCCGTTTCCACTTCTGCGCCGAGCAGTACTACAGATAAGGGTTGTAACTCCCTTCAGTCATCTCATGCTTTCCAGTCGACCCGTTCATCGTATCAATGGGCAAGTCGGCACTGGGAGCAACCATTTGCTTCGTGGTACCAAGATCAAGATTGGACCGATATCATCATTGTCCGCTCGATGTAATCGCAGTCGTAAGAGTAATGTTGTGGTGGTGTACAAGTGAGATTGCAGGGCGTATTTACATGACATTTACGGGGCCAGATTGAGTCGCTCGCTGGAGACACCCAACATTGGTAGTTCATCACCTCGTACGGTCTTGAAACTCCACAAATACACTTTCATGATTCCTAAAACCCCCGAGATATCTTCAGAACGAGCACTAATACATACTTCTTCGTCTCGATGAAGGGACAGATACCAATTTTCTCGCCCCACCAAACGCCAGTGTCCTCAAAACGGGGACGCCCGGTGAGGGCCATGACTTTGGTTTAAAATCCCCTGCTCTTGCGCTCGGGGTATGCCACGCAAAGGACTAGGTTGTCTTTGTTTTTCTGCAATGTTAAGTTGTACGCACTCACGAACGAATTTGAAGTTACAAACCTTTTGTTTGGATATACAAACACTTTTGTACTAAGTACCTCGTTTAAACCACTCAATGGACAGATTTCGCTACAGGATATTTCCTGTGAACTTCCCTGTGGAACTACACATCAGATCTCACAGGGAAATTTACTGCCGAAAAATTCCGGTGAGGTCTACCCCACAAGGATGACAAATCCACACAGAGCAGCCAATAGAAATTATTTCTGCGCACTCCAGCCATCCCATGAGCGAGGTAGAAGGAAACAAGCGTAAGACGCGTACCGCTTCACCACTCAAGTAGACATAGACCTCCTTAAGGAGGCCATGTTTGTATACCCGCACGATGCTCCGTATGGGCAAGCTTCAGCTCGATAGGAAGAAGTAGCCGAGCACATGTGAGTTTCACATGGCCCCGACTTGACGACAGCGGGATGCCGAAAACACCTCGATGATCTTATTGCGGCGTTTAAGAAGGACACTGTAAAGTCATTGCGAGCACCGAGAATGAATGCAATGAATGGGAACAGCTACTTCAGGGTCTTGCAGACATTGTGTGTAGCCTTATTCGGTTCGACTTCACTGCATGCATTGTAGATGGACCACGCAGTCAAGGCGAAGAAGACTCTGAAGGAAGAGAAGAATAAGAAGATTGGAAAGAGGGAATCGGATGGCCATCGTGTCCGCGAGGCAACACTCATAACAATGAAACGAAATGCGGACACATTCGATCTCGATGACGACGCAACACCATCAAAGGTGAAGGGTGGAAGAAGTTCGTCGGCACTGAAAGACGCAGAATCTGCAGTTGTCGACATCATGTCGATGATCGATGCGTCAAACGAATTTAAGCGAGCCGAGCTCGAAGCCAAGAGGGAGTCAAATGCTCCGTTGCAGCGAAAAGTGCTTGAAGTACAGCGGTACCGCTTTGACAAAGCCGAAAGGGAGGCAAATCTTGCTCTGGAACAGCAGGAGCGTCAATCACAGCTTAAGTTCATGGAAATCACCATTGATTTGCTAAGTGGGTTGGCGAAGAAGTTGTCTGAGAGTTAACTGAAATACGTTTTGGAATTTTCAGTTATCTTTGGCACTTCTCAAGTGCTCACTTGCCGTTGGTGGATATATGTCAAAGTAGCTGGATACCTGGTTACCTCCTCTAGCAGGTATGAATATTGTCAAGAGTACGGCAACAGTGTACTGTGCCCTAACCGCTTGCAACCACAGTTTTGGATTGCCCTTGTAGTCGACAAATGGTCACAGCTTGCAAACAATGCCAAAACTCCACTCCACACTCACACGCACGGCATTCATTTGACGATTGAACTCTGATTCATGAGCATTTAGTGATGCCCCTTTAAATGCAGAGATAATCACATCATTACTCCCGTAAGCTGGATCTCCGTAGATTACATACCGGGTTCCATCGACATAGAGTCCATTCTGCAATTCTTCAACCAAATTGCTCCTGGCCAAGAGGTATGCGCCGTGACGTGATCCTGGCTCAGGACCATGCAAGTGCACGATGATTCCATCAGGGGCGGCAACTGCTTGGTGCTTAAGGGCGTGCTTGCGCTACGTGAATGAATGGTACCAATCAAATGTTGAACTCATCCTTCTTACATTGTGCCCATTGAATGTTGCCTTCTGTAACTTTTTGCCCGGCCTGCAAATCTCGCGAACCGTACCGTCGATGAATCCGATGCATGTCTCCAGCGGGCCCCCGGCGCGATGAATGGCACCACCGCAAAGTGTCATCCACTGGCCATTCAGTCTTCTGTGGTCCCAGCGGAGCAACGAGGAGAACTTGGCGTGAATGTGCAGCGTAACCGAGTTTGCAATGCAAGAAGGGGCTTCTCGACTCCGACCAAATGTTTCCGTCATTGTGCCAAGACGGAGCGGCCATGCCAAGCGATTCAGAAGGATGCAGATTGACGCGAGAGCGGACGCTCGGTGCCTGCTCGGAGTTACGATAGGGTCTGGGATGCGAAGTAATTTGACAAGGTCGA